CACTCGATTCCGTATGTTCCGTGGGATTTCTGTAGGTTGCCTCATTTTAGGGCTTTGGGGGTTTTGTTTTTTGTTTCCCTGAGCTGAATTGAGATTTCTCAGTTAGGGGAACAAAGCCACACCCACCAGACCTCACTGAGAATGGAGACGTGAGTTGAGCACAGGAAGGAATGTCTCTTCCATCTGGCACAGGCCCCCAAGAGGCAAGAAGCAGAGTGTCCCCTCCACCCCAGCAAGGAAGTGCCACATTCTTCTCTGGCAGTGGACATTGCTGCCAGATTAGGTCGCAGAGGAATTAAGATCGCGATAAAGAACAAATTGTTACCCCAGGGCATCATCCTGCTTGAGCATCTAGAGCCCATATTGAAATGGAGCAGTGAGGAATGGTCAGACATTTATCAGACACGTCCTCCTGCTTGCTTCAGCCTGGGAGCAGGGGCACTTCTATAGATGTGTGCAGTCACTGTGATAAAAGTGTGCACAAGGCGTCCACTTGGAGGACAGGGGGCGACAGCCTGTGGGAAGTTCACTTCCCTGAGCCTACGTCCACACCAACCATCTGGTGGATATCTTGTCAATGCCACGACAACCTCCTGGCCCCGAAAAATACTCATTTTAATTAATGAACACCGAGGGAAAGGAGAAATATTTAAGTGAGACATACATGTTCCCGTCGGAGTCATTTTTTCAATCCAGCAAATTGCAAACCCCTAGCTTTCTCGTATGGCTCCCAGCTTCTCTCCAAGCCCGTTCTTTCTTTCCGATGCCAAACAGCACTGGCAGAAAGAAAGCACGAACCACGCACTGATTGCCTCGGCAAGTTAGGCAGTGCCCCCCGGGGCCAAAAACCGGGCAGCATTATTTTGCTGCGGCTGTCCCAAGAACCCATCAGGTGAAACATGCCATGCTGTGCAGAGAAGAGAGAAGAGCCTGAAAATAGTGCTTAATGAGCGGGAGAGGATTTCTCGTGAATGTGCAAGAAATTATTTTTTCCTTAACAGTCCAACACTCTAACCCAGACGTTTTGGACATTTATCATAAATGAGATTTAAGAACTTTTTTCTTCCTTTAGCGAGCCTCCCGATTGTTTCACGTCTTCCTGGACACCTTTCGGCTTTGAATTTTCGTTGGTTCCGAGAAGTGCTGAGAAAGCGATTTGTCACTCTCCGTGTGGACGATTAGTGTGTTTTCCTACAGTTGTTGCAACTAATTTATCATGAGCAGGCCATCTCTGATCAGAATACTTAATAGTTTAGGCCTGATGACTGGACCAGTCCTAAGGAACAGTCGGTACCCCTTTTTCCATTTGTTTCTGCTCCTTTGCTGTGAACTATGTTCACTATGCCCACCCCGCTTCTTCCCCGTTCTTTTCTACCCCTTTGCACACACGTCTCATGCCACCCAAGACCGCCCTGCCTGCTCGGTCATCCTTATGTTCTTATGACTGACTTGGGAGGTCACCATTGTCATCAGACAGACTTGGAAGCCAACCCCAGGTGCCAAGCGAGAAGGACTTTAATCACCCTTATTCTCTCGAGAACCTCGGGGCTCTCTTGTGGCCAGAATCCCTAGGGCGTGCCCGCCCAGGGCAAAATTCTTCCAGGGTCTCTAAAATTAGAGGCTGTGATGAAAGTTCAGGAGCAAAGAGGGGCTTAATCCCCCCATGGACCCCTTTAGTAGTAGGAAGACCAAAAGCAGAACACCCTCTTGCATCTTTCCAAGCATGAGGCCCCCTCAGAGCGGGGACTGCTGTTGCTGATTTGCAGCAGACCTTGCCCGGGACCTTCTGACCATTTACAAATGCACTAGTAGTGGGTGAGCTAGCCCGAGGGCCAGTGGGACCCAGGACCATGCTCCACGGGCACCCTCCCAAAGTGAGCCAGCCTCCAGCAGCACCAGGCTGGGCCACACAAGGCGGAGCCACCGTGGGGTCTCAAGGCCTGTGCGTCAGTTGCTGGCTGGGATCAGAAGGTGCCTGGTCTTAAGCTGTGGTCTGGATGTGCGATGGAAGGTCATCTCGTCGGAGACACATTCAACAAACACGTGGAGCACCTGCTGTGTGCAAGACGCCTGCTCAGGGCGGGAGACAGAGAACTAGACCCAGTTCCTGCCATAGGGGAAACCCATCTCTTTAGCTCTGGGCAAGAGAAGATCAATTTCAAGTAAGATGACCCTTGGGGCAAAAAATGTAGCAAGTAATCACTGCTTTTATCTGTGGCGTGAGTGCTGTGTGTGTGTGTGTGTGTGTGTGTGTGTGTCTTGGAGTGGCGGAAGCAAGGAGAAGGCTGATGAATAGGGCCACGCCGGCATCGACGGGGTAATCCTTCCAGGAGGCTCGGGAAGCCTGCTGTAATTAGATATGTTTTTCTATTACTTAAATTGAAACAACTAATTAAATCCTTAATTAACGTTTTTTAACTACTTTGGGATACGAAGTGCCAGAGAAGTTATTCTAAGTGCTAAATATTACCATGAAGTCCCAGGGAGCAGTTTGCTCCTGTGTTGACTCTGGAATCTGCTAGGAGGCTCCTGCTGTGAATAAAAGTCATTTGAAACACAGCTGGCAAAATGTTTCAAGTATCTTCTTCCCCTTGACTTCCCCCCAAGGTTTTCCCCTTGGCCTCTGTTAAAACTTTCACCCTTGATTTACCGTCACCTTTGATCAAGCCCTCAGCTTCTTCAGGTTTTGGGGGAGAAAGCTCATTTAGAAGAGGAGTTTGCTTGGTTCTGGAGCCCTCTGTAAAGTATCTAGCTTCTCGAGCACAGGCTGTAAGCAATAATGAAATTTCCCCTGCGGGGAGCATTTTCATCTTAAAAACCTTAGCAGTTCTAAAAGGACTGATAAAATTGCACTGAGAGGCAGCCAGGCCAGCAGTAAGCTCTGCAGAACATTCACTTAATTTCCATGGTCTCTGCCCCTTGAAGAAATTGTTAGGGGCTGGGGTTTCCCTACCCCACGCTCTTTCCGTTCCCCTGCCTTCCTCACCGTAAATCACTGATGAAGGCACTTACTGACAGAGCCCGTGGATCATTCCAGCAAGGCACATGGTTTAGAGACAAATGAGAGAGACCGTCTCTTAAAATTCCCTGGAAGTCCTCGGAAATTTGCTTAGAAAGCCTAGATTTTCTGAAAGAGTAGGGAGAATTTTACTAGGTCTTTATCTGGCAGGTGATGTCTCTTAGCTTCAAGCAGAGAGGATATTTCACATCTGGGAAATGTGTTAATGTCTTTTTTTTTATTATGCAGATGTTCACATCTGCAGACCCTTCCCCTGTGAGATTGCTTTCTCTTCCCTGCTTGAGTGCCTTGGCTCACCCTACACATTAATCTGCAGTGGTCTAAGCCAACTAATGACAGATGTAAACTCTCTAGGGACCACCATTTCCTACTTTGCCCCCTTCATATTCATGTTCGGAAACATTCATATTAATATGTATGTGAATGCATTCAGAGAATATGTTTGGTAAAATGAATTTATTCATGTTAGTGGCTAGAAGACCACATTATAGAATCACTTAGAAACCTACGAACATATAAAACAAAAATTATTGGAAAGCTAAAATCCAAAGAAAGTCTTGCAGATTCATTTTAGAATGCATTTCATTTTCTGTTGCTTTATATGTTCTCAAATTGGAAAACACAACTATGTTTAAATCTACCAGTTCAGAAATGTACTTAGAATTCAGGATCTGGTTCAGGATATAATCAACTACATTTGAAAAAGAAAGAGGTAGGGTAGATTATCTAGCGTAATGATCCTCAATCCTGGCTGCATGGTACTAAATGTTGCAGCGGGGGGCGGGGGGCTGCTTTTAAAAGTGAGAGTGCCTGGGCTTCCCACCCAGAGTTCCTGAATTAGCAGAGCTGGGAACAGGGTCTGGACAGCTGGGAGGCCACGGAAGAGGTCCCAGGGAATCTGGTGTGTAGCCAGGTTCGAGAATCCCATATACATGGTCCACCGACTTTTCTCCTATTTAACGGGTTCTTTTTCCCAGCCAGCATACTCCACCTAAAATAGCAGAATTGTCCTCTGGCCCAAAAGGTAAAGCAGTTCACCACAATCACCGTGAAGCCAGGTCTGTAGCTCCCAGGGAAGATGGCGGCTGGTACCAGCTCGCACCTCCCCAGAGGGCGTGCGGGGGCCTGTTCTCAGCCCCATGGTGGGCGCGAGCCTTGAACAATCCCCTCTCTGCCCTGGGAGAACTCCAGGCTCAGAGTCGGAAGACCTGGCTCGAGTCCTTGCTCCATTATTACTACTCTGAGCGACCTTGGTTAATACATGTGAGCTTTCTGGGCCTCCACGGCCTCATCCATAGACTGAGGAAAGTCATGCCTTCCCAAGTGAGAAGAAGAAGACACTTGTGAACAGGTGTGTCCCCTGTGCATAGCTACACAAACTAGCAAGTTTGTGGTGGACACCGTGTGCCTCTGGGGATCCCCCTGGAGCCTGAGGCCACGTCCTCAGTCACACCCGCCAAGCCCAGCATCAGCCTGGCTCCCGGCATGGGCTTTCAGGGGGGAAACCCTCGAATCCCAGGTGTGCGGTGCCAGGACTAGGGGTGGGAAGGGGGGGTTGTCAGCGAATGCCAGGGGACCCATCAGATCAGAAACCACGTCTGACTGTGGAACCCGCCCTGAAGTGAGAGTGCAGGCCCTTACTGCGGAGTGAGGCTGTCTCTCCTTTTGTAGAACATTTTTCCCAGCGCAACAGTCTAGGCGGCCAGAGGACTCCTGGAGATGAGAGGCGGGGGAGTCTGCCGGCCACTCGGATTCCAGCTCCCTTCTGCCGGGTGCAAGTAACCTCAGCAGCCCGTGCCTCCCACTTCCTGCGCAGGGAGCGTCATAGCCCCTACCTGAGCGAGGTGTCCCAGGGCACGAAGAAAGTGAGTGAATGTTCTCGAAGCCCTGAGCACTGGTGCAGGCTGACGGTGAGGCCAGGTAGGGGTCTGCCGCTGTGCTTCACAGGCCTAACCCGTCTGTCTGTCCCCTCCCGCCCCAGTGCCTAGCCCCTCTTGTAACGGCTTCGACAGCACCCTTTCAAGGCCCTGCCGGGTGCCGCTCGGGAAGGAGGTCTGCTTCATCGCCACCGTGCGCCTGGCAACACCCCAATTCTTAAAGGCAAGTACCGGGAGAGAATTTATCATGTAGAACTAGTACAACTGAGTCACGTTTGGTTATAGTTCATTAGCCGTCTTTATGGGAAAGAATAGGATTGCAATGACGCTGTCACTGACTTCGAAAAGTTGAAATGGCTGGCTTCTATACCTGTGACAGCCCCACCTTCCCCTTGCCCTAACTCTGGTTTCCTGTGAGCTGTTTGGCTGGAAGGCAGCCTCAGCTGCTGCTCAGCCTGCAGAGAGACTCATTTGCAACTCTGTCGACCCTCCGACCTTTCGCTGGGGACATTAATACCACTCAGGGCAGGCCGAGGTGAGGACCCAGTGTCAAAACCAAGGGTTTGTCTGTATTCTCTCATCTGTGATTGCTTTAACACCCATGGCATGAATGTTGAGTTAAGTTAGTCATTCAAATTCAGATGAAAAGCCATTTTCCACATGTTTACCACACTTCTAGATAATGGGAAGGGAGTGGTATGACATTTTGGCTCTTAGGTATTTTTCCCCAGCTTGTGAAATAAATTTAGTATCAGCTAATACTGAAATTAGCTACAGATGATGAGTTTCAGTCCAACCCAACTTGGAGACTTGCTCTCAATGATTTTAACTTCTGTTATCCTTCTACCACGCGTTCTTGAACAAACCTAGGGTGAGCATCTGCCACCCTGAGCAACATTTTTTTTCCCCTTCTAATACAGGAAATGTGCATAGTTGACGAACCCTTAGAGGAATTCACTTCAAGGCATAGCTTGGAATGGAAATTTTTATTTCTGGATCACAGGTTTGTGAAAAGAAAAACATGTTTGGGTTGGGTCCTTTTCAAGTGTTTGTTTGCATGAGCCAGGCTCTCCTTGGGAGAGAAAAGTCGGGCCTAGTCCCTTCAGGGAGAAGGGCTTTCTGGCAGCAGGAAAAATCGTTCCCAGCCAAGAGTGAGGCGGCTTCCCTTCCACTGCAGTTGTCCGTGGATATGTTCTGTGTTTGGGTCAGAGCATCTCGGGAGAGCCAGTTGCCACAGCCCGGGGACATCCTTGGGATACCCTCACCCCCACACCCACCCCTCAGGACCCTCTCCAGCTCCCAGGAAGCCAGGAGCAGATGGGAGAGAAACTCTTCGTCTTATTTCTCTCAACACCTTTTTGTCCCTTTAATTCAATCTTCTTTCTTCTGTAACAGCTTTCACAGTCGAAGGATGAGAAATCTCCCCTCCCCACCCTTTAACTTTTTATTATGCTTTGGGGTTGGACTGACCCAATCTATAGCTGTTTTTAATTATTCAGTAATAATAAAGTTTATTATTATTTAACCCAGGTTATGCCAACGAAACTGAGTATCTAAATGCCAGAAAGTTTGAGCACTTTGGAAAACACACCCTCTCTGGTTTGAACCATTGCAAAATTATTTTCCTGCCCTGGCTCTTGAGAAATGAGGCTCTGTGTTGATCATTAAATGTGCAAACCGTCCCCCCTCTGGATGGAGCTATTGCCATTGTGAGTGGGGCAGGGTGCTTGCTCTCTGACAAACTGTCCCTATTGCTTGGCAGAGCCCCTCCGATCATAGGATACCTGCCTTTCGAAGTTTTGGGGACGTCGGGCTATGACTACTACCACATTGACGATCTGGAGCTCCTGGCCAGGTGCCACCAACACTGTGAGTACCGCACACCCAGCCAGAAGGCCTCCAGCACCCTCCACGGAGCCCGGACAGCACGACTCTTTGGCCCTGGAAGTCTGTTTATTGCTTGGTTTCTTTTTGAGGAGGAAGACTTTATTTTCTCTGAAATGATGTAGGAGTGTGGTGGAGGACCTTTTGTGGTTTGCCCCTGGGTTGTGTTTCCAGCTGGAATGGACTTTCTCCGCCTCCTCCCACCTCCCCCGCATCCTCCACCCCCCTCCCAGCTCCTTCCCGTACCCTTCAGATATACAAGCTATTTTCATCTGACTTAAGAAAATAAGACAACGATGGTCATTTTTTCTAAGTTATGCAATACATTTCAAAGACAAAATACTGAATTCAGCATCACTGCTTTTTGCCAACAGACATAGAATTGGTCACAAGCTACGGGCCAGGTACTGAGCGAGGCCCGGGACATAAAGATGATCAGAATCTCCTTGCTGTTCTGCAGGAGCAAGGTCTAAGGGGAAAGCAGAAATAGGTGACATTACAGGATGCTGTCACCGCACTGGAGGGGATGTGCTCAGGGTACTGGGGGGCTCCCCCAGCTGGGGGAGGGGATCAAGGAAGGCTCTCTGCCACAGAAGAGGACAATGGGGGGGCAAAGGTAGGGGAAGTAGGACTCATGATGTGGGGGGCGTGGGGGAGAATGACCAGCGTATCTGGATTCTCACTTAGCAAGAGTCGTCAAGAATTAACCTTGGAAAGCCATATTTTCCGTGCCAAGTTCTAGCTTTAAACAGGAACATTTTTCGTCATCCCGACTTCTGGATCCTGACACGCGAATTGACCACCAACACTGTGTTTTGATAGACATGCTGTCTGTAGTGCCCGTTGTAACGGTCTCTTCTCCGCTCTCCTAGTCAAAGGAAGAATAGGCTCAAGTTCCGTCAGGATCCTCCGTTAGAATCTGAGGCTAATCTTTACAACTTGAACCCCTTGCTCCTCAAAGTGTGCTCCTCACGCAGCGGCAAGGGCATCGCACCGAGTCCGCTAGCCTTGCAGATTCTCGGGCTTTCCCGCTAGGCCTGTGGAATCAGAACGTCCATTTTAACAAGACCCCCCCCCCCAAGTGATTCGTGGGCCCATGAAAGTTTGAGAAGCAGGGTTACCTCGAGCCTTGGCTGCTTCTGACCCTTCTAACGGAGCAAGGCCACCCTGGGGGTAGAATTACCTTCATGATCTGAAGGATTTGGCCCAGGGCTCAGGCAAGACATTCTCCCTCTGTGCAGCCCACGCCCTTGCTCAGCTGGGCTTCCTACCTCTTCGGAGATCCCATTCTCCAAGGCAGTGGCTCCCATCTTCGCTTTAGTTTCCCAGTCGAGATACCTGTTATCTGTTTGCAGAATGAGGTGCTAAATCCCAGGCACTGAGGCAGTGACGCAAACTGTTCTTCTTCCCTAGACCCACAGTCCCAGCCTTCTGCCCCATGCAGGCTAATACAACAGCACCCATTCTGTTCTGGACCCCCCACACACACACAGAGAAGCTCACCAACAGACTTAACCCTAGAGGGCTCCACACAGCCCTGTGGCAGTGGGGCCTGAGCTGGAAGGCATCCGTAGGCGACTCTCTCATTTAGGACCGTGTAGACAAAGCATGAACTGCTGACTGACAGCCCCCGAATCCCATGCAGAGGTTGCAGGCTGTCAGGTCTATTTGGGGCCCAGTTCTCTCAGCGTCTGGATCGTCTCTCCTGTGCTCGGCTCCCACAGCCCCAAAGACAGCTCCTCCTGAAGCAGGCAAACCCGGGCCTCTTTGTAGTTTGGGAAATCTGCCCTTACCTGAGGCTCTCTTAAGCCGTTGAGCATTTGGGGAAGCGTGCAGATTGTTCTTCCCTTATTTAAGAATTCAATATCGTTTAACGGGATCTTGATAGTCACTTAAAATACAGCACACCTGGAGAAGTGCACACTGTTTGGCATGGTGTATCTGAAAGCTTCTGTTTTCAACAGTACCTTCTGGGGGAGAGATCGTTTTCGTATCAACGTTCGCTACATGCAGCCTCTGTTTTCTGCCTACAGTGATGCAGTTTGGTAAAGGGAAGTCCTGTTGCTACCGGTTTCTGACCAAAGGCCAGCAGTGGATTTGGCTGCAGACGCACTACTACATCACATACCACCAGTGGAACTCCAAGCCCGAGTTCATCGTGTGCACGCACTCGGTCGTCAGGTGAGGGCTGGGCTCAGAGGGCGGGCAAGTAGTCCCAGGTTCCGAAGAGCAAGCGAGCCCTGGGCTTGAATTCCTCCACAGGGCCTGAGCTATCCTCTGCGGTTCACAGAGTAGTCTCCAGAGCTCAGCTTCTTTCCAGGGACACACACAACTCTGTTCCCACACCCCCACACCCCACACCCCCTGCCGGGCTGAGGATTCCGTTCAGCCCTTCTGTAGGGTGCCGGGATGTGACTTCGTGAGTTATTGCTTCATTGACCTTCTTCCACATTTTCCCTTCATCTCCATTCACCTCCCCACCTTCCCTTGTCACTGTTTGGAGAAGAAAATTAAAATTTTGCCTCTAAATCACTCATAGACCTAGTCCCCTCTATTTTTAATGCATTAAAAGCCCCTACTGGCAACTGAGACAGTGTTGGGAATAGAACCCGACTGCCAGGGGAGAGGCTTCCTGGTGGTTCCTGGTGGCCTCGGGGAGCCCCCAGCCCAGGGTGGGTGGGCAGAGCTTCCGAGGGAGGCCACGAATCCAGCCTTTCTTAGACGCAGGCTCTGTAAGGCCACGATTCCCAAAGGTAGAGGAGAAATGTCATTCGTGGGGTTTTTTTCCCCTGACTACAGAAATTTTAAGGACATCAATCAGTTTTAAACAGGTCTAGAGAAGAGCATTTGAGCAGAACAAAGAAAGGTTTTATATGTATATATATATATAGTAGGTATATATGTATATATACATTGTAGATAGGTAGATGGATGATAGGTAGATATACGTACATATGGATACTATACATATATACTGCATTTTATATATATACATAAGAGATAGATGATTGATAGGTAACAAGTAGGCAGGTGGGTAGACAGATAAATGGGTAGATACCATGCATACATACATGCACACACACACGCATACATACAGTCAACGAGTAAATCTCTCTTCTTTTAATAAGCAGGGAGAAATGCTGGTCTTTCTTGCCAGTGACCCTGACCGTCACATTGCATGCCGCTCTTAGGGACTTGATCTTAGCTTCTCACCCACCCTTGGGCACTTCAGCAGCCAGTGGTTTCTGAGGACAGGCCAGTCCCAGCTACCACCACCCAGGCTGGACCTTTGCCACAGGGTCCTTTTGGCCCCAGGGAAGTCTGGACATCATCAACATCTTGGTCTTCAGACTCCACCCTTGACCCCGCTCTTCCTCTCCATCCTCTACCTCCCAAATCTTGGAAAGCAACTCTCAGAGAAAGTAGGGAGTGAACTAGTTAGTAAATAAGCTAACAAGCATTCCAGAGGCCCCAGAGCCACTGTGACTTCCCAGGGTCCCTCGCCCAGCTTGTTCCTCCACACATAGTCAGAGGCCAGAGCTGGGGGCCCTTTGGCCATCTCCACATTGGATTCATTTCCCCACGCTATTTTAAAAGTGGGCCCACAGACAAATCAGTGCTCTGGGTCTAGATCTAGATTTGTTTGAGAGAAAACTTCCAAAGGTTGCAATTACTAAAAAAAAAAAGTCATTTGTCAGTTCTCCATACACACAGTCCAGACTGGGTAGGTTTTAAGAAAGGCTTCTGATTATTCAAAGGCCAAGGCTTATCCTGTAGATGAAAATAGGTTTCTAAAGACAATTATGCTTGGAAGTTTCAGGGCATGGGGAGAAGATGCGTAAAGGAGAAGGGCATAAAAACACCTGGAAAGGAAAATATTTGGGATGTCCCATTAGAAGTCACCCCAGCGGCAGTTAGGCACAGAATGAAGCTCCTTCCTCAAACAAGTGACAAGACTAGCCTCCTTTGTGGTGACGATTCTGGGGTGGATGTCACGGGGGTCCCTTGATGTATCACACACGTGCTCTTTGCTGCTGCCATCTGGAACGTCCACCTCCTGCTGTGATCTCTTGATTTCCTGATCAGTTATGCGGATGTCCGGGTAGAAAGGAGGCAGGAACTGGCTTTGGAAGACCCGCCACCCGAGGCCGTCCACCCTTCAGCGCTAAAGGTACGCTGATCCCCACCAGATGGCTAAAGGCTAAGTTTGCCTAAGTAAGTTCTTCCATGAGTTGTTATAATAAAAGTAGTAATATTTTTATTTGCTATGTTCCCAGTACTATTCAGTGCGTTCCTCGGATGTTCACTTGATTACCATCATGATATTTCTGCGAGGCAGGCACCGTTACTATCCTCGTCCTTCAGACGAGGTACAGAGGCACACACAGGCTTTAGCTCACATACCTGAGGGCGCTGAGGGTGAGAACTCACGGAGCTGTGTAAGAAACAGCCTCTGGACTCAAAGCACGATCTGGCAACTCTCCATCCTTACGAGAGCAGCAATAATAAATCCACTTTGTATCTCCTCCCACAGATAAAAAGCTAGGGGCTTATCCCATCGTCCTATTGAGGTGTGGAATAATTTGGGTACCCTTTCCTTCCCGTAGCCTAAGTGCTGATGCCCTGCCTCCAGGACCTGGGCCTCCCACGAGGAGACTGCCCCTCACACAGCCTCCATGTTGTCAATAGCAAGGTGCACTTCCTACTTCTGTGTCTGCAGGTCTTAGGTAACAGCCGTGTTGGAGCCAGCTTCATGTCAGGGAGCTCTGCTGGCGGGGGTGTTTCCCTTCACAAAGCCTTACCTCCATCCTTCCTCTGCACACGGTTCTCAGGTCCCCTCTAGCCAGGCTTCCCCCATCTCCGCTCCTGGACAGCTGGAGGGAAATGTGCAAGCAGACCAGAGCCCTGTTCCTCAAAGGTCATTCTTCAAGCAGACACACATGTTGGGAGAAAAGGAGAGAAAACAAGGAAGGGAGGGAGCATTGTATTTTATCAAAGCCAAGAAGCTATCCGTTATAAGATCCACCCTTATATATCTCCCAATAAGAAAGAGAAAATGTTGTCGCCAGTCTATATGTGAAATAAGGACTTCTGGGCGCCTGGGTGGCTCAGTTGGTTAAGCGACTGCCTTCGGCTCAGGTCATGATCCTGGAGTCCCTGGATCGAGTCCCGCATCGGGCTCCCTGCTCG